AACGGGAACAAAATGAGAACAAAAGGTTCGGGAACGTTACCGTAAAGAAAAAAGGCGAAAAAAGTGCTCAGTGACGTTGTAAATAGTAACAGCAGGAGAACTAAACTTTCAGGAGCGTTTCCATTAGAAACGAAATTCTTCACGAACAGTTCAGAGAAAATATGTTCCGGTTTCGTTCTCTGTCAGAACGTTCCTGAGACTTCCAAATTGTTTTTCGAGAGAAAGTTCCTTAGACTTTTGTTCCCGTTCTGATCTTTGCCAGAACGTTCTGCACACTTTGGTTTCAATTTTATTCTCTTAAAAATATTTCCGAAAGTTTTGTTGGCTTTGGGAACGTTCTTATAAAGTTCCCGTTGAGAACGTTCTCGATAATTTTGTTCTCACTTTCGTTCCAAGTTTTGTTCTCGTTTCGGTTTGAGTTTTTGAGCGTTCTTGGGAACAAAACTACGAGAACGACATTTAGTTTCGATTATACCTTTTGTTCTCGGTCCCTGGTTGTAACATAACTAAAAATTTGTTTCGTTAAAACTGGCTATTCCACTTTCTAGTATAGCCTTTTGGCTTTCGTTAAGTTTTGTTCATTATAACCAGCAACCCCTATTCTCCCGAATCGTAATCGTGGTTACGAGCCTTAAATGATCAAAAGTGGCTGAAATTGGAAATCTTATTGGACTGGCTTGAAACTTGTAGGTATTTTTCTTTGCATTATTTCAATACTTATACTTTTCAGAGGAACACAAATTGTGGGCCTACTACAAAGTGGAATAGCCAGTTTTAACGAATTTTTTTGTTGTAATATTACAATGTCGTAAATATGACTAAAACAGCTATTTTTTACTTTTTCATAAAAACATCTCAAAATTCTGATAGAGCAATTTTGAAAACGGACTCGGTTTTAGGACAGCAAAACGCTTCGAATGCACTTGGTCCGATTAATGGATGGATATGTATATCCAAAACTGCCCAAGTAATAAATTACAATTTGGAATTTAACCTTTTTTTGTCGCAGCTCAGACAAAGAAGAAGGCGACTAACACAAAAAAGCTTTAAATACCTAAATGGAACTTACCCAAGTGATACTTCGTACTAACCCTTGGTTTGGCGTTTTGGAAATTTCTGCCAATTCTAGCTTTTAGATCCAAAAGGGACTGATGTTACTTTGAATTGTTGCATTTCCGTATAAGGGGGAAACTTGAAATAATTTTAGCGCTGTTGAAGTACATACATACATACAATATGTGCATTTATACAAAATATGAAATAATGCAAAAACCAACAACCACAAAAAACTGTCACAGAGCTATTCACGGCATTGCAAAAGAAAAATAAAGATGAAAGGAAAACAAACAAAGCAGCAGTGCAAAGTACTGCGTTGTAAAAGGAAAGAGAAAAAATGTGCGTGCAAGTGGTGATTTCCAAAACTAAAAATTAACCCATTATGTACCATGAAATACAACCACTGAAACAAGAAACAAAAAATTAAAAGAATTAAAAAAAAAAACAAAAAAAGAAAATCAAACAAACACACGCAATGGTTTTGAAAACATATGCATGTAAAAACCAATTATTGAGAATTGATTTGCAAAAATATTTTCTAAAAAACCCACAAAAAGTGAGAAAAACAAACAAAACAAAAACCTTTTTACTTAAATTTGCAAGTGAAAGCACTGATTTTTTAACAAAAGAAAATACAAAAACTGATTACATACATATATAAATACACCAATTATGTACATAAATACATACATACCTACGTACATAAAAAAATCGATGCATTAACTGATATACTACACACTTACATATGTATTTACATATCTATGGCTTTTTGGTAAAACAACTTAAACGACTTTAGAAGTTTGGCTTTGATTCAAAGAAGAATAAGTTTTTCGTAAATAATTTTATTTTGTATTAAACTAATGTGAAAAAAGCATCTTAAACTACGCATATGGCTAGAGAAAATAGCTTAACACGAGATAAGTTGTTTTATCAAAATGCCACAGATATAATTTCCACACAGCATACAAGGCTAATATATCCATCTACATACCTACCTAATTAAAGGCGTCGAAGTTTTATTTGTATTTAACTACACTTTTGATTATTTGTGAACTTTTGGCATAATAACTTAAATTGACTTATCACATACATAACAAGCCGTGAAGCAGTAAATTACTAAGGCTTGGAGATTTTAGAACTGTCGGGTTTTCCAAAAAGAACTTGAAAACTTTGATAATTTAAGTGAATGCGGCTGAAGGTTAGGTGCACCAACAAACAACGTATTGGTACAAATTTTTTAATTTACTACCGAAACTCTCAGTCGGTGACTGCAACTTGAAGAGCATAAAACCCAATTTTCGCTGGCACTTCTTGTCTTTATACATTCGATGCCGATGAGACAACGGGTTTGATCGAAGTACCGCGAATATATGTACCTGTATTTTCTACTAGGCATCGAAATGGCAAAAGATATGAACGGACATTTTCTCTCTATCTATCACTATCTCCATCACAGTACGATTTTCGTGAAATCTACGAAATTGGGATCACTGAATCTTGAACTGAACTTGAGTAACCCACTTGCAAAGTGTGCTATGTAAAATTTGTTCGATTTTTAGTTTCTGGTGGGTAACGTAATAATATTTAAAGTACTTTCATGTATACTAACAACACAGTGCAAAATCTTTCTATATTCTGAAAAAAAAATAGCTTCCGATGTTTACTACTCTTGTAAAAGTCGCTATCGTACTTATTTATAAACTTCCAAAAGTCTCCATCTTCTGATGAACTTAGAAAACTGCCTTAGGTCGTATAGACTGTTAATGTTATGTTATGTCATGTTATGTTATAATTTTATTAGGCTCTTATTTATCCAAAGTTACTTGTTGTATTCGTTTTTTTAATTTATGGCTTATTATTATAAAATCACATAACGCTGTTTGCAAGTGGACTACTCATTTCTACAAGTTTATGCCTTCAAAACATATGCTATGTTCGTACCTATTCGAATTCAATGATAGCATTCTCGTTGATTTCACGAAAAATTGGACTACGATGAATTCAGTGAAAGCCTCGAATTACTTGCATTATTGCCGTAATGACACAAGTTTTTTAATGCCCAAATTTTTTCGTAATTCAATGTCGCGTGGAAATCCGGCATTAGTAAACACTAAATAGACCTTTTTCTAAATGAAATATTGGGAAATTTGGCTGCAATTATTTATTGAACTGAGCCTGATTTAAGAGAAAAACTGGTTGATTATTTATTAGTTGACCGGAGCAGTACGAATGTATGAAGATCTATTGCTATATCGATTCCGCTAGGCTGTTAAATATACGTACGTACGACGATTCCGCACATGCATAAAAAAATCATAATTATTGATCTGAAGGACAAACGCAACTTAAGTCAAATTAAGGGGTTTGTTAAAAGGCCACCGAATAGGACAAATCTGTTTGTATATCCTTGTAGTATGTGCATTAGGGTGGTCCAAAGTAAGTAAAGTCGGAATTTTAATGGTCTCACCCCCCAGGATTGTTCTATATCGAAGAAAATATACCCCTATTTTTTATTTTGAAATCAAAAAATATATGGGGAGAAAACTTTTCGTAAAAATGATACAGAATTCTTGAAAATCAATATTTTTCGATCGAAAAACTCTGGTTCTCTTCAGGAGACTTCCCGTAATAATACCCAATTGTTTATTTAACCATCTTTTAATACTTAAGATATTTTATTTCCATTTCGTTTTCTAATTATTTCCATTTCGTTTTCTAATTAATTTTTGATTTCGAAATAAAAAATAGCGGTATATTTTTTCGGTATAGAACAATCCTAGGGGATGAGAGCATACAAATTTCGACTTTACTTTTTCACATGCAGTTTTGGACCACCCTAATGTACACACAGTATGCTGTAGTAATTCATGGTGTGGTCAGTTTGCCTCCATTTGTACTTATTGTGAAAACTTTGAGACTAAAACTAATTTGTAATGCATATTTACAGATATGTATTGTTTTCATTTTGAGTTATCATTTATTATTTACCTAAAGCATAATAATAGAATGGATTTTTAACTTTTTAAATTTAAGCCGCTAAGATCAAAAGCTGTCAGAGCGTTTCATAAACTTAAGCGAAAAGTCTGGTGAAAAATTCTAAATACGTACGGGCTACGGTTTATGTACATATAGATAGCAATAATGCACTTCCAACAGAGCAAACATTTTTTTCCATTACTCCTGAACTTTTTTTAATTTTTACGATCAAAAAAGTTATTTTTTTGGTGGCTTTTCAGATTGGAATCTTATTAAACCCAAAAACCATCACAAAAACGCAAGTTCGATGAAAGTGTTTAGTGACTAAACGTATAAAGATATTTTAAAAATATCAGTAAAACTTGATCGCACCGCTAATGCTGAATTTCCACTAGGCGTTTAAATGACAACAATAACTACGAATGTTTCACCATTAAAAAATAGGCATGTGGAAGACGACACTTTTTCTTTTAAGGTAACGATACCGGTTTTTAGTGCCCAAATGCGTCTTAAATTTTTTTGGCATTTAATGCCCAATGGAAATCCGGCATAACAATTATAATTCTAACTTAAATTAAGTTATAATAATTAGATTATGATTTTTACTATATAAAAGTCATGACTGTTGCATTCTGTTGAAAATATCTAGAATATAGGATAAGTGAAAATTGAGTTCCGTACCGTTTTTACAATGACGAGTTAACTCGCATTCGGCATTTCAACATTCAAATTATGTACAGAAAATCGACTATTAACTGCCTAAAGAGAGTTAACTCGGCACTGTTACATATGCATTAGACCGTACTGGAAAAAAGTTCGCCGTCCATCTTCGAATCATATTTTTTTTTTGTTCTTTTTTTTTGGCGAACGTAGTAGAGGTCGCCTTTTCCGTCATATCTTCGGCTTTTACAGTCAGATATTAAAGTGTGTTATCTTTGTCCTTTCCTCGAGGAGGCCATATTTTTGAGTTTTTTATTACTAACGTACCACCCAAATGCCAGTAAATTAAATCCCATCAAAAATCATTAAACTTTGCTAAGGAAATATTTCGATCATTCCATTAAAACTATTTAAACAAACAATTTTATTGGCGCATGTAGGTGTCACCGAAAAATGTAAAAATGCGACCCGCTCCGTCAGAAAAATTTGAGCCAAAACATTTTTTCAGTCGGATCTTAAAAGAGATTTAGCATTTTTTTTGTTCCAAAGTTCGTTGACCCCTAGTACCCCATTCTAGTCGATCCCACTACAGTCGGCCAGATTTATGTCTGGCCATGGACTGTCACTGTCACTCCAGCCTCAAAACTTTGGGGATTTAGTATGCTGTTACAACAACAACAACAACAACAACCCCGTTGTAGTACTTATCCACCAGACCTCCGTTCCTAACACCCTAACGTGCCAATGCCAGTAAATTAAAGCTCGCCAAAAATAATTAAACTTTTGCTAAGGAAGTATTTCGATTATTCCAGTAAAACTATTTAATTTTTTTTTAACGCCGAATGTATGTACATTAGACTGCATCACCAAAAAAAGCTGCGGTTTTTCCGCCGGGATTACAAAATTTATTACATTTTAAGACGTCCCCCAAAATATTAAGGAAACATATTAAGATTTAAGCGAGCTGGACCGATTTGAAAATACCTCCGAAAATGGAGTTTTTTATGAATAAAAATAGTATCTTAAAGAACTTTTTGAAAAAAGTCTCCTCAGATGACAAAACAAATTAGGCTTAGAAATTCTGCATAAAAATATTTAAAAATCTTTTCAAGGGAATCGTAATAATGAGATTTTTGATGTTGTTTTTTTTTTACTTTTTTCAAAGATTGATTTACGACAAACTTAAATAACTGGGCCAAAACTATTCTGATTTAGACTTATAGGATCTCGGTAGGAAGGTATTTTTCCACTACTTTTATTTATGTGCAGAAAAAAGCCATTCGTCCCCAATTTTTTTTTTTCACATACCAATACGTCTTAATTCAACTTTGAATGATATTCGTTCATCCTACCTTTCTCTTTCATCCTTTGAATGAGTTTATTAGCATGAAATGAAATGACAAGGGTGAGAAAATACCTTTCGAATGACATCTCACAAGTCTAAATCGGGAGAGTTAAGGCTCAGTTATTAAAATTTTTCTTATACCAATCTTTGAAAAAAGTTAAAAACAGCATCAAAAATCTCATTATTACGATTCCGTTCAAATTTTTTTTTAAATATTTTTACGCAAATTTTTTAAGCTTAAACCGTTTTGTCATTTGAGGGGATTTTTCAAAAAAAAATCTTTAAGAAACTATTTTTATTCATAAAAAACTCCATCTTCGGAGGTATTTTCAAATCGGTCCAGCTCACTTAAATCTTAATATTTTTTCGAAATATTGTGGTGGACGTCTTAAAATATAATAGATTTTATAATTCCAATGGATTATTTTTTGTATGGGGAGTGATGCAGTCTAATGTACATATGTAGATGTTACCGAAAAATTAAAAAAAGTCGGTTCGGCCAAACAAATTTTTGTTTTCGAATTTGCCTTGCAAAAAATCTTTAGACTCAGGGGTGTACGGCGAACTTTTTTGTTTGCTTGCAAGGAGGTACGGTTTAATATATGTTCGTGCGTTTGTGTTTAAAAAATTCCCTTCTTGTTTTTCCACAATAAAATTCCATACAAAAAGAAGAGGCTATTAAAAACATTTAAGATAACATCATACAAAACGGTTGAAGTAGGTAGCATATACAGTAGGAGTTTAAGCTGTAATAAGTATTTTAACAATTATTAGGTCACAGTTAGATCTGTCAGGTCATTGAAGAGCAAAAAGGTTGTTTTAAGGCCGCATTACCAAACTAGCTGCGCCAAATCAGTAGCAGGTCAGAAACCGTTATTGTTATTTACATACATCAGGTAAACCAAATTTTCACTCATAAAGTGATGTTTTATTCATAATCAGTGGCGGAGCCAGCGGGTATTGATAGATTTTTACTTTTCAAGATGATGCTCAAAAAATGCCAAAGATCCGTCTTGTGCCACTGTAAATCCCTCAATATCTCCACATCGTTAAATAATTTGAAGATCTGATTTTTATTCTACGGAAAAAATCATATCAGAACCAGTGGGCACTAGTTGTGCCGCATGGCAGTTTTAGGTTAATTATAAAAGTCTTAATAAATACTTTTTTCATATATTAAGCGTATACAAAAGTTTACCAAACTATGATTTTCCTATTCATGTGAGTTCAAAACTTGAATATTTGTTTGCATAGGCAAATAGATTTTTGGCGGCCGTACGGTATAGTGGTAAGCAACATCGCAAAAAAAATTTAGAAAAAAAGTTTTTTTCTTAAAAGATGTTTCCCCTCGGCGGCAGAGCTGGGTAAATGCAATTACATTACAATTACAATTACATTCCTCAGTAATTGTAATTAGGATTCAATTCCTTTAGTTCACTGCAAAGGAATCGATTACTTTTTCAATTCCTTGAAGTAATTTCAAATGGAATTGTTTNGGCGGGCCCGAAATCTATAACTAAGAATATTTAATTCACATGTCTTTCAAATTAATTTTAAATATGAAAAAATCTGGCATTTTCCGGTTATTTTATTTTATACCTTGCTTTTCGCTTTCGTCAATAAAGCATAAAAAACTGATTATTTCATAAAACGGGTTTAAGGAAGATTTTCTGAATTTGAGCCTTCCCGATAACGTCCATCCCGGCCATTTTGAAATCGGTAGCGTAGGTCCCGCGGGTCCTGATATCCCCATATAGCCCATCTCTAATCTGAATATTCAGCCTGTACAGTACCGATTGGAAAGATCAACGTGCGAAAACATATCAAGGTTACAGACGATAAAGCCGGTTTCGAGCTATGTACTCATTGGTTCTCGTAGTAATGAAATATAAGAGGGTTTTCTTAGAAAACTTTTCTAACTGTGCTTATCAGCTCGAAGCCATAACGCAATTTTCTTGGTCTGAAATTGCTGAGGTAAAATTATACTTTCTTCCCTCTCTAGTACATAAAAAGCCGAATTTAGACGTTCTGAAAATACTAGTGCATGCAGGCTCATTTATTTAATCAGACATACATCATTTATTTAATCAGAGTACATCTGTCCTCTTCAATACTTAAACTGCTGCACTATATCAGCTGTTAAAACTTGTAAAATTTTGATAAATAATATACAATGGAAAGAATGGCCCAGATAGGACAAAATAGACGAAGTTGACGCCTTTAGCCAATGTGTGTCTCACTCGTTGAAATTTTTTATCATTGCCCCTTATCGAAATCCTTCGTTATTAAGTAGCTTTATAGCCTAAGTCCAATAAATAGTTTTTTTTTTTTAATAGAGTTCCATTCTTAGAGGATACATTGATGAATTAAATTGTTTGGGGACTGTGTTGAAATAGTTAGTTGTGGAAGCCTGGCACTTGATTTTTTTGTTTATCGTTTGCGGCAGGCATAGGTTTTTAAAAAATAGATTGATCTACTTACATATCTGAAATTCTAAAATAAGTCGATCGCGTCAATAAGGATGTTTAACCTGCAGTTGGTGTTAACCAGATATTGAGAAACTGCCCCTTTCAGGTCTATTCTGCACGTTACCGAAGATTTTGTTACCGGAAAATTGTATTACCAAAAAATGTCACCAATTCTTGTCACCGCCATTCTAGGTACGTTGCAGTTAAAATATTCATCAATTCAGCTATGAAGAATTGTGCAAATCCTGGCTTTGCATATTTCACGTGGCAATAATTTGTTACAAGTTTATGAGCTGGTAACAAAATTTACCGGTTACAAGAGTACACAGAATGCGAAAAGGGTTTAAAAATTTACAGGAACTTTATATACCGGTTACAAACTTTTTATTACCAGCGCAGAATAGACCTGTTAGAAGGATTTTTAGACATGTATGGAGGGCGGTGTCGTCATTTTGACACTATTGCGGAGAGCATAAAAACTTTTAGGAATTGTTCCGAAAATACGTATAATTAAGAACAGATGCTAGTATTCGGATTCAGTTATATCATTTGAATAGATTTCACAAAAATCGAGCCTACGATGAATTTAGTAATACACCTGGGCGCCAATTCTCGTTCCATGAAATGGTGAAGTGAAAATGAAAAATTCAAACTTTGTGAAAATTCCTTTTTTTCATTTTATCATTTAGTTTTGCCACTTTACGCGATTCTCGATCATTAAAGGCTTTCCCAAACAAAAAAATGTAAAAGTGTAAAAGATAATGATTTCCTTTATGAAAATATTGTACTTTTCGGCAGTGTCCAACTTATCCTTCTCACAGCTACAAAAATATGTGAAAAACAAGTAGGAAAGTCTAAGTTCGGGCGGAGCCGAACATTAAATACCCGGCGCAAGTATTAAATATATGTTTTTTCACCTTTCCGAAACCTTCCGCTAGATGGTAAGCCGGGGTGTATCAATTTTGAGTAAATTAGCGTCCTTCAATTTCGAAATATTGAAGTTTCAAGCATTTCTGAAATTTACCGTTATATGAGAAGCGGCCGTTATTTTAGTCCGATTTCAATAATTTTCAACGTTTTGCTTATATGTGGCAAGCACAATAACCACACCGAGTTTGGTACAAATTGGTAGAACGGTTACCGATATAC